AGGTTCATCGAGAAGATTTGAGCGCTTGAAAATTCGATGGGAGACGTCGAACGTATCATAATTATCAGAAGGATCTTCCTAGCGTTAGGATCCAACGAAATCCAGTTACTTTTAAATATCATGTCAGAAACCTCCAGACTCTGTAGAGAGAAACATTACGTGGTATTGTTTTCGATTGAAAGTATATTTCAGTTGAAAATTAAATTTGTTATTGTTTAATGGAACCTTCAGCCGAACTTCGTTCCCATACCAACAGAAAAATAGTAATTGCATCACAACACATGTCGCGTAGGTTACGATCTCAATATATTGTGAATTCACTTCCCTTTGCGTCAAACGATAAAGCTCAGAGCACAGAGTCAATGTGCTCACCAAAAACTGCATCATCATTATTGTTTTAAATTCTTCGTTCACCATCTTAGCGAATCTGCAATTATAGCGTCAGAAATTAGTTTATTGTCTCGTATTTATACTTACAGTGAGTGACAAATAGGACAACACACACAGCGTACAACAGTATTGTGATAAGGAAGTTCCCTTATATGGTTATCTAAGATATATAATATTTAGGTTGCGAATTAATAAATATATTGTCGGAAATTAAATTTGTTATTGTGTCTTGTTTTTTCTAAAGATTGTTGGAAACAATAGCCAGTACTTTATAAAAAGCTTATATGTATTTAAGAAAACTATCGAGTACTTTTTTCTGACAGTCCAGAGGACTACGAAAACATCTTCAGACATGATAAACTTGTGTGGCAGTCAGAGTGTTATTGTTGGATATCTTTTTTGAGAACATTTACACTTCCAAAGAAAATGGGGGACTAACTTGTAAATGTGCTTATGAAGACGGACGCACTCCTTCAAGGAATACGTCTCTGGTTCATTAACTCCCTTCTTCAAGCGGTGTTCGAATATCTCAAACAGGCAGTAAATGTGGATCAACAGACCGCTGAATAGACTATCGCTGCCAACGTTTATAAACGCAATCATGATCATGCTTACAGCTTCACAAACGAATGTAACGGTATACACCACAGAAGAGGAATAATTATAAGGTAACCATATTCGATACGCTAATTTCCTTGGATTATCGTCGATCAAAGCCGTCCCAAACATGGCTATTAAAAGACCTAATACGGCAGTGGCGAGGATAATCCCGTTCAACCTGCCAAGCATAACATTAGTATTAAATTTCGATGGGCATTTGTACTTTGGTTTCGCTATTAACACTTTATCTATCGGCAGCTTATTTATAAACTCTTCGACACTAAACATACCACGACCAAGCAACTGACTGGTTATGATTGGAAAGGTATATGTAAAGTTCTGTTACATTTAATGTTAATTTCAGTGTCTACCTACTGCAACCTATTTATTATGTTGTCGGTTGTTTACTTATAATGCTCAATTTGAAAAAGCAATTAAGCTTTTCATTTACTTTGTTATAGTCTGCACGAGTTAATATCAATATATCAGTCTATATGCATATACAGAGTGTTCCTTTATATCTGGGCACTTTTTGGAAGATAAGGTCCTGACTTCAGTACGAATCGAAAAATTGTTTGTCCAATTTTCGAACCGTGGTTTCGTTATCAAGGTATAAGCAAACTGTTAGGAAATGATCTAGAAGCCCGCAAAATAGTTTAAGCCAGCAAGGACGCGGTCATTGCCATCGAGCTTACAGAGATTGAGTCAGTGTCCTCGTAATACCTGCACTAGTGTCCCAGTACCATTGATCGAGTTTAAACGAAAGTCGCTCGCCGAAAGTTACACTTGCCAATTTTATCTGCTTATATCTCGTTAACAAAACTGCAGTACCTAAATTGGTAAAGGACTTTTCGATTCGTACTGGTGTCAGCACCTTACTCTTCAAAACGCGCCCACATATTAAGAAACACCCTGCATACCTACTAAACTACAATGTTATTTTCTACGTTGTAATCTGTGTTTAACTAAAACGATAAATAATGAGCTAACAGTAGTGCTCGACGTATAAATGCTTCTGTGTAAGCGTCTAATTATTTTGAAACGGGGTTCTGTTGTTTCGTCAACATTGCAGAATAACTTCTTCAACTAATGAACTGATCGATGAAAATATTTGTGGCTGGTGATCATCAGATCCTTGACAAAGCTTGCTGCAATCTTGCTAAAACGTAAGAACAATGCGTAAAAATGGTATGAATGTTAATGATGTTGCGATTAATAACGACAATTGTAAAGTAAACTCACTCTGCGAATTTGTCGAATTTCTTTCGTATCGCGATTTCATCGGTACTCACTGGAGCGAGAGGTTCCGTGTTGAGTGTATCGAGTAAATTTACGAAGTTCTTACGATTTTTTAACAAGGTATTCATTTTAAAGAGTGCCGCATTGTACTCCATTGTCAGACGCAAATTCTCAAAGAAATCACTCTGATTATCAACGAGTAAAACTATGTCCAAGGCTTGCATTATTATGACGGTGTAAACTGATAACCAAGAGAAAACCGTATAGATAGTGTACAAAACATATTTGTATCCAGACGTCCAAGAATACGGTCGCCAAAAACCGCAAAAACTCATAACCGTAAACATGAATCGCAGTATAGCCATTATCAAGTTCTTAAAAATTCTTTTCCACAGAAATTTACATTGGTTTCTCGTTGAAGTCCTGTTATTTTACAATATACTTGAAAATATTTGATTTGATTACCTTACTCGTTAAAACACTGTCAAGATGAAGCGATAACTCTAAATCGAGATCTCTACTTTTTCGTCATTACAGCAAAATGTACGGTAAAACTGCCGTCAGGAATAACTCAATTTTTTTTTTCGCGGTGCGGACTCTTTACTGAACGAACGGTGAGATATTACTGAGGGCTATAGAATGCCAGCATTTTTCGATTACCCTTGGACCAAGTAAGTTCTCTTCAGTTACTTCCCCTCTATGTCTGAGAGCATATTATTATCGTAACGACGGGATGCGGCTTCATCAATTAATTATTAATAGTGTTTAAGGGTAATGATGAAGGTTACGTTCCTTGCGTCGTTTTTCTTTGCATTCCAGCATTAGAAAAATTCTAGAAGCTGATGAAAAGTTCCTTAAATCATAAAATATTAAAGGAGTATCCTACGAACCAAACGTTTTTATTATAAAGAGAAGAATAGTTGAGTTCGACTTGTACTACGCGTAGGCTATCATCAGATCGTCTGGATAACTTTACTACAATGTGTCTTTAAATAAAAAAGGAATTTCAGTGTTTGAATGGTTTAATATGCGTCGTCTGATCTCATTTAAAATACACACGTGTTTCACGCTACTCAAATTGGATTCAGTCTAGGAGACAACATGAAATATCGCCCTCGTAAGGGTAAGTTACATATCAGCATTACAATATTGCAAGTTTTGAAGGAAAATATTGAAAGTTGGAAGATGCATTCAAAGAATAGATCTACAACACAAATTCTTTTTCTATGACTTTCGAGTTTCAACATTTTTACTAGTCTAGACAAATTGAAACAAATAGTTTATATAGTTCTGTAAAAAATTAGATATTCAAGAATAATCGCGTATAACGATTATGTGCGTTATCCGACGTTGATATGATAACACGAAGAAGTTATGGAAACGTATAATCGCAGTTAAAATTAACTTATTATAATGTACAAGTTATTTTACTTTTCTAATTAACAAAATTAGAAATCATACGATTGATAATGTAAATGAGAATCTGCATATCAAATTTCACTTTTTTTCATGATTTACAATGTTGATAAATAATGAATGGAAAAGAATTGTTCATTATTAAAATTGTCGTTATAAAAAGTTTCTTGTAGAATTTATTGATATTCGTACCTACTATTGGAGTCTATATACACTAGTACAGTTTTTAAATGTCAATAATTTCCATTATCTTCTCGTGCCTTCCCATTCTCTTCAATTACTTCGTCCTGGAAGATTGAACGATATTTTGCTGAGAATAGAGAGAAAATATCTTGGTCGTACTATCCCTGTCCTTGTTGTAGAACATTATAAGCCGAATAAGCAGTCTTCATCAACTGTAAAAAAAAAAAACAGATATTTAGGATTTAGGAATTTTAAACCCACTTGCGTTGTTAATTTCATTGTTTTTTTTTTTGACTTGGCAAGTACACATATTGGCATTAAATATTTGTGAAATTTTATGAATGATTTATAGTATATTCAAATCTGTATACATTTTGTTTATAAATCTTCGTATTTGTTTCTAATGCATTTTAAGAATAAATGGGGAACCGTGTAGTGCTTACAGTTTTTATATCTTAGGATCATGTCGATTTCTCGAAAAATTAGTTTTTAAAGTTTGTGTTATTTTAACTAAATGTTAGACTTAAGATCAGCAAAATGAATCTTATAAATTCAAATATATACAGGGTGGAGCGGAATTCGTAGTAGTAATGTTTAAAGAAAAACGCGATTTACAACTTCTCCATAATTGTGAATCCTAACGAAATATTCTTGTATCTAGTATATAGCCAAAACTTTATACTTCATGAATTGTAACTGTGTCTGCAAGATAGTTGCAAATTGAAAATATTTTTCCACTGTTTTTCTAAATTATTTATTTGGGGAGAATAGGAATAAACATCAATATATGTTCAACATACAATAAACAAAATATACTGCAATGTAATTGTAAAATTTATTTGGCGGAATACTTATAGATATAGGTTTAATGTAACAAAATAAAATTGAAGTCGTTGTTTAGGCAGTATGCATGCTTTGGATATTTAAATAAAAAGAATACGCTATGCGCAAACATTTATGCGTTGTTGATATGAAAAGTGGCAGGCTTGGTACAGGTGAACTTATGAAGTTCACCAATAGTACTACGTGATTATGGACACAAAAGAACTCTTTTTTTTTTGTAAAACCGTAATTTATACCGGATGGATTGATGAAATTCACAAAACATACCAAAAGAAATTTGCGTCGATTACCGTAAATTATATTAGTAAATTATGACAATTGTTGACAAATTGTTGAGTGCGCCCGATGATTCTAAATTCCGCATATGAATTTCGTACTCACAGTCATAAAAGTCGGGAGGTCCATCGAAGCAATATAAAAACTATTGAACTCTATAGGGATCGTAGCTCGTTTCATAATCATTAGAAGAATCTTCTTCGAGTCGTTATCCAAAACTGTCCAGTTACTATCAATTACCATCTCAGGAACACTGAGACTCTATGGAGTAGAACGTTGAGTAAACTTCCGATTGTTTAATCGTAGATTAAATTCTATATCTTAAGAAAGCACCTTTTCTTTGACTTCGTTCCCATACCAACAGTAGTACAACGCCTGAATTAGGACACAGCTCGTGTAAAACACAGTTTCGATAAGTCTTGAGCCCAGTTTTCCTTGCGTGAAACGATAAAGTGCGCTGCATAAAGCCAACATGCTCACCAAAAACTGAATAAACATAATTACTTTAAATTCTTCATTCACCATCGCCGCGAATCTGCAATGATGACGTAAGATGATAATTTCATTAAACACGAGTACATTAATCTACTATCGAAATTGTTTAATGTTTGGTAGAATAGAAGCTAATTAAATCAAGAATCTACTACTTCTAGATAAAACCGTGAGTGTAGCCATGCAAACTTTAAAAATATCGAACACTTGCCGGAGACTTCAACTCAGTCAACAATTTTAACCCTTTGCACTTGGTCGTCCCCTCTAACAATAAGTGTTATTAACTTCCCGATTTATAGGGAAGTTATTGTATTTTTTTATTGTTTTTTTTTGAAAAGTGAAGTATATCGCAATGGTGTCAACTTAACGAAAGCATTATAAAGCAATTGTATAACGAAAGTAGGTGAATGAACATACTACATATCAAATAATGTAAATTGGGAAGTAAACAAGCAGACCTACGATCGAGACGAGACGGAAATATAAGAAATAAAAATGTGATTTTCTCCTATAAATATGTACCTTGATATGTAAAGATTCATATTACATATACCAGGTATTATTACAATAAATTTCATTGTTCCAAATTTCCAAAATTTAATATGACTAGTTTCTCGATTTCATATTTTGCAAAGAGATGACTCCGAGTGCAAGGGGTTTATTGCAGATACATTACATTATAGACGTAATCATAATACATGGCGTTTGGACATTATATCTTATATAACGCAAACATTTAACTAAATATTTCTTGCTATGCGTTTGTAGAGGACCAACAGTAAGAGTGTAATTTTTTTAACGAATTGAAACTCAACGAGGTACACCACGTTTGAGATTAAAAGAAGGCTGATATTAACGAATGTTTGTTGACAGTACTAAATATATATCTTAAGTATGTTACACATCTACTAAAGGTACATAGTTTAAACAGTGTCTCTACAAAATGTCATAAAACACATGGTAACCTATTTAATATATATTTACTTTTTATGGAAACTCCTTTCTAAGAAATCTTGTTTTTTTAAAACAAATTAAAATTTAAGAAAATTCATATAAACAACGGCAATAATACTTACGGTATTTATAAAACTTCTAATTCTATTCAATTCTATCCATTAAGATTCGTGAAATCTAATTCACACTACGCGTTACCATTCCGCCCTATGTTCTCTTTACATATAATCTCACATAAAATCAAATTATCCCACATATAAACATTTATTTTGTTTCGAAAGGTAGAGTTCCCGCTAAGGAAATAAGTTTGAAGATTATCCCTAAGATGATGATACTTACTTTAATTTTTCTTTCTTTATTTATTATACTAGTAGGAGTATATCTTATCCAAAGTATAACATTCTGTAAATAAAGTTCTAACATTCGACAAGCTCGGAAGCTATCTTTTTGGATATCAAACGTCACACTGATCCTTGTGTGTAATGCTAAATATCTCAAACAGGGCTCAAACGGAAGTCTACATTACCAATAATTTCATTAGGCTGTTTCATGATTCGTGAAGTATTCTTTAGTTTTAGCTATTAGTTTTGTTTTATTGAAATGGACTTTCGAAACTGTGGAACTTTAATCTGCTTCGACTGATTTTCTTTAGTGCAATTTTGTCCATTTATCGTGTTCCTTGTATATTTATGAATGTATACCATTTCGTACGAGCAGGCTATTTTATAGTTGCTTGATGATGAATGCAGCTATTGTGGGTTTTTGTGGAATGCAAAAAATTGTTCAGCCTTGGTTTACAAGATGGAGACTTGATATTCTATTTTGTGATTAGTATCCTCACAAAATATCATCATTCTGCTGATGCAGTCTATCTTATCTTCTATTCGGAGATGTAAAACAATGATGTTTATGCATATTTTTGGATTGCTTTTAATACTATTTCTACGATAAAATCAAAATAACGTCAATAGCTTCTGTTTAAGCCCCATCTGATTTACCCTTCTTCCAATTTTTTTTAATGGTGGTCAGTGACCCAAGACACGAGTGTCATTATTAGTCATCAAAGATCCATGAAAAAAATATATTTATCTTGAATGGTGCGACACATACAAATATTAGTGTGTCATTTGACTCCTGAAGAAGTTAACGTAATGCCGGCAAAATGTCGGTAGGTCTTCTACGAATGACATGGATTATATCTAGAAGCTATAGTTACTATGAACCATGTAGAACCATACTGTGAGAATCTCAAAAATCTTATTTTTCTAAATAGTACATTAGAAATTTGAATCTATATTTCCACGTACGTTTGTCAATTTTGGCTTCTCTTCTTCGAAACATGCAAATTGCTTAAAAAATGGGAGACCAACTTGTATATATGTTTATGAAGTCGAACACACTGTTTCATTGAATCGGCTCTATATTCTATAATATTTTTCAACCGGAGTTCAAGTATCTCTAAAACACAGCGCGTGTGGGTCATCAAGCCGCTGAATAAGCAATCACAGCAAATGCTTATCAACGCGCAGAGTGTAATACTTGAAGCTTGAAAAACGAGAGTGATCGTAAATAAAGTAGGAGAGGAATAATCGTAGGGAAGCCATGCTCTGTACGATAATTGCCCTCGTCTGGAATCTGTGAAGATCGTTGTTCCTATCATACAAACTACAAACGATACAGCTGAAGTCGTGAACCAAATGGCATTCCACCTGTAAAGATACTACAGTCAAACTTTGTCAAGTATTTCAATGAATAAACTGTTAACCGAGTGTAATGAGTTCACTGTTAACTTGTTAATTGATAATTTCTTTTCGTTGATGTGATGATTTAATTCATTTTTATATCGCACCAACAAATTTACAACCTTTTTTCGTTATCACTACAAAGCCATTTGACTGTTGTTTCGCGTATCTGTAGTTTATAGTATACAGGATGAGTCATCTAAGATTTTGTACCTGAAATACATCCGCTGTTTTTGATTATACGAAAGCGATTTTTGTTTGCACGTTTTGCAACGAGACGGTATGATTACAGATGATTATAAAAATCTTTGACTTAAAATATTTTAAACATCATAAGTTACATGGAAATGCATGGCAAGATGTGTTTTTCAAATGCTACACTAGAATACCTTCTTTTAATGCATCTGGGTGAAAAAGACTATCTTGAAATACTGTTTTGTTGTTTCGATAGCATTGCAAACTACCTTAGTTAATCGACAGAACATTACTAGTTGGTCATCAGTTAGATCCACGACGAAGATTACTGCAATGTTGTCGAAACAACAGGCCAGCACGAAATAATGAAATGATTGTTACTAACACTGCTATTTTTAACGACATTAAGCACAGACTCACTGTACGAGTTTGTCGAATCTCGTTCGTATCTCGATTTCGTAAGTATTCACTGGAGCAAGAGGTTCTACGTGAAGTATGCGAATCAAATTTACAAAATTTTCAATATTCATTAGTAAG